ATGGACCAAAGGGTAGAAGGACGGCAGATGGAAAATGGGATCCATATTCTAGTGAACAGACTACAAGCGAAAAGGGAAAATCGCAATTCGTCAAGCCAGGAGAATATTCACCACCTTACTTGGGAAATGTTAGACAAATGGGGAATACATCAATCATTAGCGCCGGTCCGCAGAAACCCCAAAACCAACCATCTTTTGGAGAGCGTGTTCGCAAATTGAAGAATAATGCGCCGGTAGAGAAACCAGAATGGAAGGGGGCAACAGGACGTTCAAAGATTGTGCCCACACCTTCAGATGATTACACTATACCTCCACTTAATATTCCAATTCCAATTCCAACGAGGAGCGAAAACCGCATTACATCAGGCACAAGTACCCCTGTATCTTCCATCCGAAGTGCAAATAGTGAAACGGCGGCGGCACCAAGCTTCATGGATCTACCCGACCCAGTATCTATCAATGCAGGATCATTGTTCAGCGGCCAAAACAATCCACAAACCTATAACGAACCCTTAATTCAAAACCTCGAACCCATTCATGCGACTCACCTTACAAATTTCACCAACGATATTACTACAGAATCCCCTACCGCATATTATCCTTCTCATTCTAAGACAGATTCCACAGGAACTATTGAACGAAATTTTCGAGAAGCTCTTAAGAATTCTTTTCCTTCCATCGATCCAAACGAACCTTACGTCCAACCACCTTCTCGCTTTAGTGTCAGTACAAAGGCTACTTCAGAAGCCACCCAATCTACCAGAGCACCCTCACTTGACATACAAAACGAGATGCATCCTCCACTCCCAATTCAATCCTATACCATGACAACTCAAGGACCTACTTCAATACTATCTCGAAAACGTCCCAAGGTCATGGCTGATGATAGCGCATCTATTTATTCTACGAAGAGCATTACTCGCAAAGCTATTAACTCCAATAGTCCAATAACAATCTCTATGACTTCTTCTCTTCCTCGCGAACACAATCACCCACCGCGCTCTTCATCCACTGTCACAAAATCTCTCCCCAGCACCCCTGCCGAAAGCGCATCCTCTGATCCTATATCTACTCTGGAAGCGCGTCTCGAAGCTCTTACACATCGCCGACAGAATATTGAAAAGTCAATTAAACAGATGACGGAACTCATGCCAGCGGATCGCATGATTGTTACGGAAGAAGTGAGGAGGAAGAGGGAGACGGAGAAGAAGCAAATTGAGAGATTGAGAGAGGAGGAAGCGGAGATTAGGAAGGAGGAACATGAGTGTGGATTGAAACTACATAGGGCGTGGAAGAGGAAAGATAAGCAAGCGGGCTATGAGGAAACAGGATTATGGGTTAGGAGAGTTACTGGTTAGGCTGTGGAGTTTGACCTAGCAGAGATGGAAAAGAGAACGATTGGTTTTTATGGCGCAGAAAAGACCAAATGGCAAAGCGAGGCAACTAGGAGTTCGGTAGGCGCATATGTAGGGTATTTTTCGAGAGGATGGATGGATCGGTTTGGAGTTAAGGAAAATTCCACCCATTGCATTGGATTTACATGTCCAAAAGATTACGTGGACTTTTTTTTAATGTCGCATCACATCATGTTTCATTTTATTTCATAAATCGGATTTGGAGATGTAGATCTATTCAGCTTTTCGTTAATCTCTAAATCTTGCTCTTGAGGAGAATTTATCTCGGAATCTCACATTTGTATCATAAAATACCAAGTGATTTATTTGGTTTATTAAACTATCAATGAATTTTAGTCTTTATGAAATCGGAATTGCATATCCATTAATTTCCTATACATTGCAATTGAAGAGGCTGTGTATTCTCGCTGTACATGGATTTGTATCAAGAATATATCATTGCGTTCTTGGCACATATCACTTTACTCACGCAAGTCACAGAGTAGCGATCGCTCACTCGTCATTCAAACTACCGGCCCGGTAAGCTTCCGCGGAGCTGGAGCTTGTACTTGCTCCGGGCATTTTCACGTGATCCACGGACGATCACCTATCGTATTCTCCGCGAATTCCGAGCTAATGTGAGCTCAAAGCTTCGACTTTCCAATTCCTATTTTAAAATTTGAGATCATTATTTAGGTGTTCAACGTTGATGAACATTGTGTTTTGTTGGTTTCAATTTCAATCTTGAGATTTTGTTTGAGATTTTGAGGAATAGCTTGTTGAGTGTGGAATTTACGATTTGCTTTTACGGTTATTTATTGTATTGCGGTGAACGACTTGAGATATACAGCAAGCACGAGAGAATATTACGACTACTGGTTCTTGAAGAGAGAGATTGGATATCAGAAGGGTAATCATGGATTACGTTGAGAAGAGAATGGCTGCTGGTATGTTCTTTATGGATTTTATCTTGTGTGCTGTGTTGTTAGAGAGGAGATGAATTGGAGTCTCTCTCATGTTTGAGATTCGGTTGAATTGATGAAATCGTTTCATTCATGTCAAGGCATATGAGTATGGAATCGAAACGCTAATCATCATATCAATACAGAAGCCCAAAGACCTGCCGGTGCAGAAGTGTATGTTACTCCCCCTCTCAAAATTCCACCCCATCAAATCAGCACACCAAACAATCCCAAACCCTCACTAACACTCCCCAGTGCCAGCCTAGCCACTCCAATCAACCTCCTCCTCCTTAGTCTCCTCGCCCTCCTCACCTACACAACCTTCCGTCCAAAAAAGGCCGAACCCACCCCCAGCGCTCCCTCCCCCATCGTCTTCCGTACCTTCACACCCCCGGAGCTCGTCCCCTTCTCCGGCCTCAACAACACACCCGTGTATCTCTCTGTACGCGGTCGCGTCTTCGATGTTAGCAATGGAAGGAACTTTTATGGACCAGGTGGACCGTATGAGAATTTCGCCGGGAGAGATGCCAGTCGGGGGTTGGCGAAGGGTAGTTTTGATGCGGAGATGTTGACGGAGGATTTGCAGGGGGAGTTGGATACTCTGGAGGATTTGAATGCGGAGGAGTTGGATGCGTTGAGGGGTGTGGGAGAGAGATTTGAGGAGAAGTATTTGGTGGTTGGTCGGTTGGTTAGTTGTAAGGAGAAGGAGAGGAAAGATAGGGAGAAGGCGGAGAAGGCGTAGGGAGGTTTGGGATAGTGAGTGTAGGGTGGGGGGTGGGGGTGGATATATGGAGTTGGGGTTTGCGGTGGAAATGTGAGATGTGGATGTTTCTGCAGAATGGAATCTTGAAGAAAAATATCACAAGTCAACAAGTCAACTGGTCAACTCTGACTGCATGGTGGTTATAAGTATCATTCATTCATACAAACATACGGGTGGTAAATCTACACATCGAAGCGAGAATAACACACAGATTCCTATACTATGATTGCTTCATTCATTGGCTTTTCTCTCTATTCATTAATGATAGTGTAATGTCCCTACCTAGAATGCTTTAATCCATCAACCACATCTATCTATCTATCTATTCATTCATCCCCCCTCCCTATCCTTCAAAATAGTGAATTTTCAAGCGCACAAAGTATCTCTATCCTCCTTCACTCTTGCACAACGCCCAATATTTTGAATACAACTATGCAAGTGAGGAGTTGTGAAGTATTAAGTACTATCTATCTAGGTATCTATCATCTTTATAGTTTTTGGAATTTAGCTTTTTTTTATAAAAAAAATTAAAAAAAAATTCTGCTCTCTTGTGATTTGATTTTTGATTTTTGATATTGGGGTTGGAGATTTGATATTGGGTTTGAAGATTTGGGGTTTGGGAGTTTGGGGGTTGGGATGGGGAGTTTGGGATGGGGAGTTTGGGATGGGAAGAGGAGGAGAAGGCGCGGGGGAGGGTGGTTGAGGGTTGGATTGAGTTGGGTTTGGATGAATATTGAGTAGTGGCATAGACGAATGGATGGGAACTAGTAATAGATTTGAAGATTGGAGAATAGTTTCATGGTCACATTGAGAAGTAAATTGTAGAAAATGGGGGGTTTGAGTACTAGGTTGTGAGGGAGTGAGTATTAGGTAGTGAGAGAGTCAGTGGAGAAAGTGAGGTTGAGGTGAGGTGAGTTGAGAGGAGGGGAAGAAGTGAGGGAGTGAGAGAGTGAGGGAGTAAGGAATAAGGGAATGAGGGAGTAAGTATTAGATAATAAAAGAGTAAATAGAGAAAGTGAGATGAGGTGAATGAGTGAAAAAAGGAGAGGAAGTAAGGGAGTAAGGGAATAAAGAAATAAGGAAGTAAGGGAGTGAGAGAATAAGGGAATAAGTATTAAGTAGTGAGAGAGTAAGTGGAGAAAGTAAATGAAGTAAAGTAAGTTGAAAAGAGAAAAGAGAATAAAGGAGTAAGGAGTAAGGGAGTGAGGGAGTGAGGGGAGTGAGGGAGTGAGGAATGAATGTGTATTGTTATTGTTATTGTTATTGGATTTTGGATTTTGGATGCTACTCATTCATTCGACTGGCGAAGAAGAATTTATGAGGAATGGGAGAGAGGAGAGGAGAGGAGGGGAGATGAAGAGAGGAGAGGTGGAAACAGAGATGAGAAGGGAGGTAAGAGAATAGTGTAGCAGGGGGAAGGTATTTGTGAGTTTAGAGATAGAAGGGGATTAAGAGGAGATTGTGTGATTACTAAAGTCATGAGTGTGAGATTTTAGCTTTTGGAGTTGGACTTGGAATTGAAGTTGGAATTGAAGATGTTGTGGTGTTGTTTTTGAGTTTCGCTTTTGATACTCTAACGGGGTTTCTGGATCGTATAGGGTGATCTGTAAATGGTGTTTTGTATGTGCATGGAATGTTTGATTTCTTACTACGTTTTGAGTGTGATGTAATAGATATGGTTTGGAATTTTAGATGATGTTTTTATTTTCTATTCTTGGGGCAGGGGATTAGGAGGGGAGATGGATATGGATATGGACGAGAAATGTGAAAAGGACAGTATAGCTAGTATGTGATATTATATTTTATATATTAATTAATTTTATTAAATCAATCTGACACCGAGACTCCCCATTTCACGATTCTCCCCCTCGCTTAACAGCCTCAGTTCCCACTCCCGCTCCCACCTCCACCCCCATTCCAAACCAACACACCCTGAACCACCTCCCCCTCCCTAACCATCTCCTCCATCAACGACCGACTCTCCAACATCCACTTGGCCCAGGAACTTTTCACCCCCTCTCTAAACCTCCAACACGTCACTTTCGCACTCCCCAGCCCTTCATGCGCAAGTAATTCCTTCATATACTCCCAATCACGCAACGTCCACATCTCCCTCGATTTCACTGTCGATCTGCATGCTTCCCCCACACCCACCCCATCTATCGACATCGCCTCTCCCATCTCGCCAACTGCAGAACTATCCAGCAATTCTTCCCTCCACGGATTTCCCCAAACCGTCAAATCCACATTCTTCAATCCCAATAATTCACGCGTGATGAATGCACAAAAATTTCCCCATACCACATCAATACTAGCACTAACACTAGCAGCGATCAACAACTCCGGAACCTCCCTCGCAATCTTCAAATTTCGAACCCATCCCCGCGCACCCTGACTTCTATCCGACCAAAAAGGCTTTACCGCTTCGATGTGCATACCGAAATCCCAGATGCTATTTCCATTTCCATAAAGCACTTCTTCGGCTTCTTCTTTGGTTTGTGTGCAGACGCTTAGGATGCGCGTGTGGATGCTGGGATTGGGATGGTCGGTGTGGGAATTAGCCGAGAGGACTTTGTAAGTGGTGAGCTTTTCCGGGGTCTCTGGAGATAGGGGGTAGAACGATTGGGCTGCGCAGAGAGGAAGACATTTGGGTGGGAAGTAGTATCCATTATGTGGAATTTGTGTTGTGATTTTATGATGTCGAGGTGGGAGGAGGAGAAGATAGATTTTCAAACGGATTTCGATAGGTAAAGATAGAAAGGGGAATGATGGATTGGCCATTGAATTGATCTTGTTGATTGGCGAGGAAAAATCATGTGATGAATACTCAGATAGAGCTAGGGTATCCACAGGGCTGAACGAAATGGATTCTCTCAAGTCTGTATCCCTGTTTGATTGTTTCGAAGAATTACAATTGAAAGGATATGAAGTAGGATAAAGAATATCGACATCGATATTCCGACAATTACTTTTACATTGCTTTATATCTTTATTCTTTTGAGCGTAGAAAATATTTATGGATAAGGTGGATAACTCCGGATACCTTGATGGGTTCTCGAGAAGATAGGACTTGGATGTCATTTTCGGGTACCTAATGCAGGGGCGGAATACCGGTGAAGTCAACAAGGGGTATGATGTCCGGACTGGCGAGTTTTGGAATTTTGAGTGTTTTGAGTTGTCGGTGTATCTAAAATGGAATATATTGAAGTGTTGCTTTCGAAGATTTGTGATACGTTCAGTGTTTCACTACTACTGATAACAGTCTCGAGCCTATGTGAATTTCGCATTGATATATTAGGAAACTTTGAACTAACATTGCACAATAATATTGATGAATATGCGCGTAATTATTTGGTGAATAGGGGTGCCGATTTGACGTCCTAAAATGTGATCTCTTATGTGTGTTGAGATAAATAATAAAGATGACATGAATAAGTGAAGAGTAGTAAAGTGAGAAATGTTCTATATTAATGAAAATCTAACTGTTTATATAGAGGCACAGCCGAGCCTGGACACCACGTAAGGAATATACATTTCTCTGATGCATAACACGAAGAAACGAATAAGAAACCAATAACTTGTTTGTACCTCGAGAAACGGAAGTATAACCAGTTCATCCGGAGTGATATCTGACAGCATGCGGCTGAGGATGACACTGCATGACTGTACCAAAATGTCCAGAGATCAACGTCAAAATCCGACCTCTTTCGTACAACAATGCTTACACCGTAAACTAATACCAAGGACATGCATATACTAATTATACACCAATTAGTTCTCGTCGCAAGTACTCGGCAAATCCATTCATGATTGAAGCAGAGAATGCGACAAAAAGAGCCATAGATGAAGAGTGATTTGACGAGGGCATAGATTGCATCTCAGAGGTGATCTCCAATTTCTGGATACCTTTGATTTCCAACAATTGGGAAACCCATACCAAGTGTTCGTTTGAATGAGTTGTCAAAGTCTTAAACTCCGACGATGTGTATTGTCTCGTTTCCCGTTCGCCTCTTGGTTGTCCTCCCTCGACGATTAATTTTAATCCCTTTAATTGCATGTGATCTCTTAAAAATTTACAAAGATTGTTCCAATCGCATCGATTTGATTCGAGAGAAAAGATGAAACCTTGCTTGAAAAGAGATATCTCTTGTACTAAAGGTCGTGTACCAGGATTTAGGTCGGAAAAGAAGGGAACAATGGCCTCAATGTCCTTATGAAAACTGAATGCTCGATTGCAATACAACATTGGTAAGGTTTCCTCATATATCTTGCGATTGACTCTCATTATAGAGGTGTGTATATCGACGGCAGTGCATAGTTCATATGTCGTCTGGAGTCGTTGTCGCAAAGGAGAGAAATCGACACTGTAGGAAGACCGTAGGGAACGACAAGGTCCGTCATGACGTTGGCCATAAGCATATGGTTTTTGGTTGCGGATTTCGAAAATTTTGTTGTTGTAATCGTTGAAAAGGTATTCATATATCATAACCCTGATTTCTGATGGCATACTCATGAGCGCCGAATGGGGTTTGACGTCTGCCATGGCTAATAATTCAATAAGTATCCGTGAAGCTAGAGAGAATGTCGATTTTTTTATTGAAATCGAGGAGTGTTGTGTGCATATCCTGAACCAAAAACTATTTTCCCAATTAAAGATTAGAGTGGTTGCTGGACGAACTAGGAATATCCATCAAGGTTCTTATTCTTTCCGTCCAACGGCAGAACCTGGAAACACTGATTAATGTGATCAATATGGCTGCGTTGAAGGCTAGTAACTTCAAAAGAAAATGTCCTTTGAAACGAAATGCTGAATCGTGTATGCAGTGGTTCTTTATTAGTATAGCAACTCGAAGGTAGACCCGAGTCGACTCAAATCATATCGCCGAAAAAGAAACTAGAATATGGAAGACAAGTCTATCACCTAGCATGATGCCATGATACCATGATGGCGATTCATGCTGCTAACAACTTGGGCAGTTCTTCGGCGAAATCATCAACGGATTGATGAATTGGTTTGGATTGTTATGACTCTGGTGTGGTTTCCTCGAGTCCCCCTTATAGGGACAGCAGTTGCGATAACATACTGCTAACGCTTTGAACACTCCTGCACGATTAATCAGTGTGTATGGAGGTCCTTGTAAAGGGTTTTCGTGCGTTCAAACTTCGGTGCAAAAGTATCAATTACTATCAAAATGCCGAGAAAATTTTGGGATGGAAAAATCGCATGCGTTTATCGGAAAATTGTCGGGTCCTTTTTCATGAGTCGGTGTCGGTTACCGGTACTTGATTGATTAGCCAACCATCATTTCAGGGGATGACCACTCAACAACTCATGCAACTCATGATCGATAGATGATTAAATATCTTTTCAAAGCTATCCTGCATTGCATTTGCGATCAATGGATACTACAAAGCCAAGGTTATCTTCTCACTTTGCTAAAGATATTGCCACTTCTCTTCGACACTAATGATTTATCCAAATTTGATAATATTTCGTTTACTGTTTCGATTACTAATCTACCCCTCCATCAACGGAAAACTCCACTTCGATTTTTAACATCAACCTCGAAGTCCAAGGTCACTGTTCGCAATTGCACGGTATCCATACCTATATATACTAGAATCTCATCTTATCTACCTGACTATCCCCAGAATCTTTCCAACGGCTCTTCTATTAAAAGAAAAAATATGCTCACATGCTTGCTATTTGGTTTTAGCGATGTTACTTCCCAGCCACTTGAATTATCAATTATCACGGGAACAAAGCAGAGAAAAGAAATCCCAGCCCTCTTCACGCGGAATTAAAAAAGATTGCTTCCCAGCCTCCATAAACAAATTGCATGAGGTATGTATAATATGATGCATCTCATTATTCCATGTAAGTCCCTCTAATCTCAGATATCAAACAATTGTTCTCGAGTCCATTCCTATATATTTACAAATTGATGCAACCATGCGTCTAAACACTTCTACTTCCAATCTTTTTGCGCTATCTACACTCTTTTTGCTATCATCAGGGCTACCAGTCGTTCAAAAAGACGTTATTTCGGTGGAACATGTAAAGAGGGCTACGTACTCCGTTGTTAATGTTGAGGGAGGTTCTTCAACTTCCGCAAGTAGTGGAAATGGGAAAGCAACTACTGTCATAGAAACAGTCACCAAAACCGAGGAGCCGGCAACAAAAACAGTAATCGAGACCGATTTAACTACAACTACAAATCACGTTGTCTCAACTCAGACTGTGAAAGGTTCTGGTGCAACTGAGACTACTTCAGTTACGGTTACACCATCTCCGACCACAGTCGTTAGCGTTAGTTATTCAGTTGTGGATATCTCTGCAGTGACTACTTCCAAAACTTCATCAAAAACTTCATCAAAAGAAGTCTCTACCTCTGCAAGTTTCACTGCTTCGGTATCCTCATCGGGTTCATCAAGAACAGCAATTACTAGTTCGGCAACTATCATATCTAGTGCGTCAGAATCATCAAAGTCATCCGAGCCATTGTCACAATCCACATCATCTTCCCAATCTGTATCCTCGATAACGGCCACGGCGTCAACTTCCACCACACAATTGACCGTATCGCCTTTGACATCTAGCGTTTCTGAATCATCCACTGCAGTCGGATCTTCCTCATCGCTGTCCTCAATTGTCCCCAGCGTCCCCAGCTTGATCACGTCCGAAGCATCTAGTCCTATTCCAACTCTCGAATCACAGTCAAGCACATTCACTGACGAAACTTCATTCATATCAATCCCCACAACTACTACGTCTTCCTCGTGGACTCCTTCATATACAGGAATACTATCGAGTTGGTCTGCTATTACAGCTTCCCCTTCAGCTACTACTACTTCCTATGATAGTGGGAACTCATTCACCAGCTATTCTTCTTGGAATTCCACGACTGCAATACCTATAAATTGAGCAAATTTTGACTCGTTACATTGAATGCTCAACCAGTCCTTAGTTTGGGAGGGATGCTGCTACATCGCCGAGGATATTTCTCTCACGAGTAGAATTTCATATTGAAACCACGTTGCCTCCCTGGCATTCAGCGAGTGATGGAATGAGATGAGATCGCTGAGCTGAGAACCAAGTGTATGATTCAAACTATCAGCGCGGAAAATGTGCTTGGTTCTGTATTCATGTATACATCTTGGGTTGATAATATTTATATGGAGTTAAGGAATCATATGGCGCCAAGAGCTGGCAAGCCTTTTATATTATTGATGACACAAGGGACACGAGGAGACATGGTGGTGTTGTATAAGATGTCGAAATTCTTAGATAATTGATAATGAAGATAATTAAGATCACTTATTCACATGTTAAAAGGTACTTTCTATTGCTCTCTGGGTGTAATAGAATTCTTTGAATGGGGACGATAAGTACAATATAGTGGTAAGATCTATATTTGACCAATAATAACGATCCATACTCCTAACCTTTTTATCATAAGCCAGAATTTACTACATTATCTTATCAAATCTGGAATTCCGCACAAGACTGGTGACGCTTTTCGGAAATCGGATAAACTCTTCATCCGTTAAAACATGATTGGACAAAGGCAATCCTTGTCAATCAATTGTACATTGGGAGGCTTATTAGCGTTCCTTCCCCCGGAAACTGGTCGTCACCAGTTAATCTTCGAATCCTATACGAATATCTGATATCTACATTAATCGCCCAACCATTCACGAATTATTATTTGCTTGAGCTACGAATAATCTCTGCTGCGCAAGCAACTGTACTTGAAAGTCTGCCATAATGGCTTCTCCAC